TATATATTATAATTTTTAAACATGATTTTTATATTATTATGTTTTCATATATCATTAAGTCACCACCTGCTGATACATTGATATATATATGTATATCACAGCGCAATCTATCGTTTTGATATGTACTATTGTTAAAGAAAAGTTCGAATATAAATGTTGCTGATTCATAATCTAGAAGCAATAAAGAAATTTTAAGTGTGAGGAAATATTAAGATATTGTTATAATTAAAAGCATAATTTTCATCAATTTATAGCAATGTTTAAAATTTTTTACGTTGAAATTAGATTTTTAAATTGTTTGTTTTGTTTGGTGTAACCTATTTCTTATGTATTCATCAAGGAGATAACGTTGACATGAATTATTACTGGTTCGAAGTTCGCGTGCCATTCTTATCGGAGTGTGATTCATATTTCTTCTGACAGTACTTCCTTATTTCTTTGTTAGTATCAACGTAATGTTCGAATTATACCAACATAATTTACGTAATATCTACTACGTCGTAATAGTGCGATTAATGATTCCATCAAGTTACTTTCTAAATTTTACTTTTTTCTATTACAATCACGAAGATGCTTAAAAGAAGAAATTGTAACACAACTATTGTAGAATATCAAATTCAAAAAAATGAATTCGTTTTTGAAAACTGTCAATTCAATTACAAACAACAGAATTATCTTAATCAGAGAATCATTGCAAAAGCAATTAAATATTTGTGTGATGGAAATGCAAGGTGCATCAGGAATAGAAGAAAACAATACAATTGGCAATTGTGACGAAAGTATGACCTTATGTTCTGTTTTGGAAGCTATCTTTTTACATGGTTTAAAAGACAGCCTTCTGAATCGAGTAACAGAAGTTTTAAGTGGTCCAGATTTCAATGCAATGCCACAACCAAGTTTTTGGGGTCCATTACTGGTGTTTTCTCATCGACAAATCATAGCTCAAATACAAACATTAAGCCAACTTACCACAGAAGTTGGATATTGCAGAGCTTGGATACGATTAGCTTTAAACGAAGGTCTTTTAGCTAGTTACTTTGGTGCTATTAAAAGAGATAATTCAGCATTAAAGCCATATTATAATCGGTCTGCATTCATTAGAGATACAGATTTTGTGGAAGTTGCACAAAGATTAATTGAAAGTTTAGATCACATATGTTTTGAACTTGCATGTAATAGTAGCTTATTAAACTTTTGGTCAAATACTCCTCTTCTATTAGCAGGCATATGGTCACCACCAATGAAATCTTGTCCAGTATTTAGTGCAGTAGATATTGCAAAAACAATAACTACAGAAATAACAGACAGTGACAATTTTGATGAAGTTGAAACTGCTAGTTCAATTGGTAGTTTAGGTTCCTTTAATTCATCACAATCCGCTCTTAATAATATGGTTTGTATAACGGAGGATGAAGCTTTAAAAATTATATTAGCTAATAAGAAATCAAACAATATTGGTACAAATCAATTAACCAATAATTCAAGAAATACTCCACCTTTAAAAGAAGAAGAAGAAAAAGATTTATTAAAAGAACAAGAAATAGAACATACAATTTTAAATAATGGAAATCAAAAAAATGATACAGAAATTAATATATGTAATGATGTTGAAGATTCAACAATTGAAAATATTGTGCAAAATCATGAAATTTCACATGATATTGTTGTACCTACAGTAGGAAATTCATTAATTGGTAGATTAGGATGGTCTACATCATTTGAAGATTGTGAATCTTCTTTAACTTCATCTGTAATGTCTCATGATTCTGGGACAAATGCACCTCGAACTCCAGGTGATGGACCTACGTATGATGCAATCATTCAAAGCTATCATACTGTTGGAAATTCATCTGTCCCAGATCTTCAAGAATTTTTAAAAAAATATCCAAAAAAGCAGCAATCTAGTGATGAAACTAAAGTTCGATCAGAAAATAAGGTATAATTGTATTATGTTTTTAAAATTTATTTGTATTACATTTTGTTTTAATCCTAAATATAAAATATAATAATATAAATATAATAAAATATAATATTTCTTGCTTTGATTACAGATTATAATAAATTTTGATGAACAATTGGGGAAACTTCCCAGAGAGAAAGGTTTAGATGTACAAAATTATAGTTGTTTTGAATGTGGATATGCAATTGGTATGACTTTCTCAAAAGCATATGTTTGCTCTTTCTCTAGTAATTATTATTGTTCAAATTGTATGTCACAAAATGAATATCTTATTCCATCACGAGTAGTATATAATTGGGATTTAAAATGTTATCCTGTTTCTAATAAGGCAGCAACATATTTGCAAGATTGTCCTACATTATTAGATCTTAAAATTTTAAATCCACGAATTTATATGGCTGTAGATACTATGGCTCAATTACAATCATTAAGAATTCAATTAAATTTATTGAGAGCTTATTTATTTACATGTCGTGAACCTATAATTGAATCTTTACAAAAAAAGGTCACACCTAGAGATTATTTGTATGAACATGTTCATCAATATTCTGTTTCTGATTTTTATGATATCTCTAATGGAATTCTCGCGCAGCAACTACAAAATGTAGTAGAATTTGCACGAAATCATGTTATAAATTGTTGGCTTTGTAGTCAAAAAGGTTTTATATGTGAAATTTGCAATAATCCAAAAGTAATCTATCCTTTTGATATGGGAACTACATACAGAGTAAGTGAATATTTTTATAATAATCACATAGAAGTTAATAATGAATAAAATTCAATTTGATAATTTATTAAATTTATATGATTTTAGTGTGGAGCCTGCAATGCAGTATTTCATGCAGAATGTTTAAATGCTAGTAAACCATGTCCAAAATGTGAACGAAGACGTAAACGAATGGATCTCCCTCTTTTAGATGTAGGATGTACAGATACATTAGATGATGCACCAACATTTTCAGTTAATATAAATTAATAGATAAAAGTTTTAATAAATTATATATTTTTATTTATAAAGTTTTTATAATACTTTGTTTCTTATAAATTACTAAATTAACAGAATATATATTTATTAAAATTTATTTTTATAAAATTCAATAATTAAATATTTTATAAGCATATATCGATATAATGCAAGATTTATTTGTAAATACTTGTTACTTCTATTCTAAATAGTTTTAATTTTTATTACATCTGTAATAACTAATAAAGTAAATTATATATTTAATATTAAGTTTTTATTTCTTTATGCAATATGTTCAAAGTATTAAATTTTATTAAAATTTTACGTATAAAAAGTAATACATAGATCATTATTAGATAATTTATTAAATTATATTTATTTATTATATTTAATACTATTTATTATTATATTCATATATTATAATGAATCATTATGCCTATGTTCAGCAAATATATTTTATATATACATCGATAAATAAACTTATTATTTCTAATCTTAAACTTAATATTTTTAAATCTTAATAATTCGAAACATTTACCATAAAGAAAAAATTATATCGTATATATGAATATATGAATCAATATTTAATGTTTAATGCAAAATTAATGTTTCATTTTCAATGAAATTTTATATTTTTAGACAAAGTAACGTATATTAAATACTTTATTATAAA